CAAATATATGAAGTAAGAAACTGAATTTTCTATTACAATAAAGTAAAATATTACTTGTTTCGTGTCGCCTCTTCATAAGAGGGTCATTGACAAGGAAATGTATGCCTTAGAACAATGACACTGAATCGAACATTAAGTGAGGTGAAATGCTCAACAACGTTTTAAGCCTCGCTTTAGGGCTTAAGCACACCTTTGACAACATTGGATTGTTCTGTAGTTCATAGTCTGATAGAAAACTTCGATATTGTTGAAAGCTATGTTGCATGGGCTCTCCAAGGATGTTGTTTTACCCGTATTGGATCCTCCAAAAATTCTCTACTTTTGAAAGATCCGACACACACGCCGCAACATTTTGGAGAAGTCCAAGCATTATAGGTTGAAAGCATAGTTACATACATTTGGTCAAATATTATTAACAAGGACTTTGATATCTTTTGCTATTTAGGCTGAGAAACAGATTGAGATGTATACCAAACAAGGATTTACAAATCTGCCAATTTGCATGGCGAAAACACAATATTCATTTTCACATGATGCCGGGAAGAAGGGCGCTCCTAGTGGATTCATCCTGCCCATCAGGGACGTTAGAGCAAGCATTGGCGCAGGATTCATTTATCCTCTTGTTGGAACAATGAGCACAATGCCTGGTTTGCCTACGAGGCCTTGTTTCTACGAGATTGACATCGACACATCTACTGGAAAGGTAATCGGTCTTTCTTGAACATCCAAAAAAAAGTGTGGTGTGGTTGTTTTACTGTGTTTTGGCAGAAGTGAAGAGTTTGTCAAGTTCTAGACTTCCTTCTCCTCCTCTACAGTGCTCAGCTAATAACGGTACTGCCCCGAACCACTTCTGTGTTTCTTATTGTTGTCGTAGAATCAGTGTAAACGAACACCTGCAGTTCTACTGCCCGACGTTGATTGAATAAACATGAATGTGAGTGATCATGATGAGTTGTTAAGACTATTCGAGGTTCGTTTAAAAGGGCCTTGCCTCTCTTTACCATCGTTTTCGCGAATCGTACACAATTCTTGTTGTCTCTACTACATTTTTCTTAGATAAGTGCTGTATAATTAGTGTAGTATATGTTGTGAATCTTGCACAAAGATTACAAATTTGTGTGCAAAAGAATAATTCTTGTAATAAGTGGTCATGTTTTGCAATGTTGTGTGTATTTCTGCCAAATGTGGTTATCCTATTAACTTTTGGCTATTTGAATCAACATCATGGCTTAGAGCAAGCCCAATAAATAAAGAAAAAAAAAAGCCCAATGAAGTGATTTGACCATTATTTAACTTGTATCTTAATTTTTTTTTTACGTCTACCCTTTAGCTATCGTTCTTGAGAAATGACCCGGTCTGGCCCAATACTCGAAAGAAGTTTCTATCGATCCCTTGTCTATCAAAATTTTAACTTTTGGTTCCATCGAACGAATAATATCCACTTTAGAACAACTTAAAACACGCAACGACTAATGTTTAAGCACGTATTACTGAAGTTTTAGTTATTTTTACCTAACTTCAAACATGTATATTATTGTTTAAAGTTTTAACTTTTTTTTTGTTATTACTCGTGTTTACACGAAATCAATGTAAGTTTGTGTATTCTCACTTTATTAAATCATTTAAATATGATAGCTTTTATTGATTTGGAGTAAATACCTGGGTAAATACGTATTTATCCTTCAACCCTTCTAAATTTGCTTTTTTTCTTAATTTACAATTTCAAGAACTCATATTATTTAACTTTTTAAATTCTAAATTAAAATTGTTAATTACTTTGATATTCTTTGTCACTTTAACAAACAATGTCACTATCACGTATAATAGGTAAAAATGATGTGACGATGTAAAAATTCAATTAAATAAATTTTGATATACAAATTTTATAAACAATGTCATATCTCGTATAATAGGTAAAAATGATGTGACGATGTAAAAACTCTATTAAACAAATTTTGATATACAAATTTTATAAACAATGTCATATCTCGTATAATAGGTAAAAAAAGATGTGACGATGTAAAAATTCTATTAAATATATTTTGATACACAAATTTTATATCAGTAGCAGCAAATTCATAATTTATAAATTACATGAAAAGATAAATTTTATCGATACTTCAAGACTTCCGTTCAATATCAATATGCGTGACGTTTTTTTCTTTGTATTATATTTGCATCTTTTATTGAATATCAACGTCAAATCTTTAATGAATTTGTTGTTATTTTCTTTTTTTCTTTGTTTTAAGAGTGACATATTTGAAATATCACTTATTTTTTTAGCCTAACAAATTAAAAACTCATTCAAATTTATAGCCATACACGTGTACATGACGATATAATATGTGGCCTAAAATTAAATTATAATTCGAAACCTTAAATATATATTCAATAATATTCGCATACACAAAATATGAGAAAGAGTGCCAATTTTCTTGGTTCAAATTTTATATTCAGTGGAATTTCACACATGAGGTCTACGAAGATGATTTTTATGCAATCTTATTCCTATCTTACGAAATAATTTCCAATAGACCCTCAACTTCAGTAAAATATATGAAAATCAATACGGATACAAAATACATTAATGAACTAAACGGAAAAGAAATGAGACAAAGAAATAATAGCCACACAAAATAATACAATAATCGAAATTTAAAAAATAAATAAATAGTAAAATAGAAATATAAGATAATAATACTAATACTAATAATAGTAGATAAAAAAAAATTTAGACAAAATTTCAAAAATAAAGACAGCTATCATGCAAAAAATTAGTAGGTGGCTTCTCTTAAATATAATAATTATTATTATTACGTGTTTTTTTGATTGTGATTTCATGATGTATATTTTTGAACTAATTTACTATTGATATCAATTCGATAAAATTTAATAATTTTAATTTTAAATTTTATATTTACAGTACAAATTGATCTAATATGCACAAATCCTAAATTTAGTATTCAAATTACTTTAAGGTTTTATAGAATTCGTAACTTATAAATTTTAAATTTAAATTCATTTAAATATTATTTAACGTATAAGTAAAATTACACGTATATTTAGTGCTGACAAATAAAGAGATCATATCGGATTTAGACGGATCAAATCAAATATATTTATCATGTCTTAATCATATTGTTTATTCAAGCTTAATTTGACTGCGTTCAATTATAGTAATCACTAATCACGCATTAATAATGAGATACAGTAATTAAATCAAAACAATATAGTTGTCTTAATCACATAATTAAGCATGTTTTTTTATAAAAAAAATTATATGTTAAAATTTTTAAAAATAATGCATTCAAGTCCACCGAAAATATGTAATTTAATTTACAAATACACCACATGGGAGTGGAATTTAGGGACGGAGCTAAAAGCCTATATGTGAGTTCGATTGATCTCAGTATTTTTGATTTAAATTTTAGATTAATAATAAACTCCATTTATATATATAATAATTAAGAACTCGTAAAGTTTAAATCTCGATTCCAAATCATGATGCGGTTAGTAGTCCTCCATCATTAATATAAGAGATTTTAAAGTTCAAACTCTGTAAACTAAGTCTCCTTTTATACGAAGAATTTTAATATCCAGATCATATATATTAGTCAAGTTCTAAATTATCAGATACCTAAATGTATGGACTTCACCCTCTAAATCAAAAATTTTCAAACATAAATCAAGATTAATCAGATCCGCGAAATCGTTTTACCCTTCAAAACATAATTCTTCAGTACGAATCAAGATTAGCCAGACCTATAAATGAATATTGAACATCAATTGTGCTTTACCTTCCAAAGAAAGAAGAAATTCAGCATGGGTCGAAATAATTAGTTAGGCTTTAACGATACCAAATATCAAATACACGCTATTCTATAAAGTGAAATTTTTTCGTGCATAAATTAAGATTAACTAAATCTTAAAGCACATATTGAATAGAACAACGTCGAATGCTTTTAACACGTATAAAAATTTACTATTACTTCAAAATAAATATCGAAAATCGAATAAAAAATTAAAATAACATATACCATAACATTAATAATTTTTTTTTAAAGACATTACTTCATGTCAAGAATTTATTCTCCACATCATTTCTTATTAAATCTTTTCCCTACTTAACCAATTATTTGTCCTTGCAATAACAATCACAAATTAAATTATCAAATTGTATTCAAATTTATATCCTTTTTGGACTATATATATATATATAAAATTATCATGTTGTTTTCTTTAGAAATAGTGGCATGGCGGCTAATTGGATGTATGTACATTTTCCTATCTAATTTTTCTCACATTAATAGCTATAACATTTAATGTGTTTTTGAATCACTCCGAAAGATCGATATCTATTTTAAAATTTGATTAATTTTTATCCGTGATAGAAAGTCATATTTTAAGATATCTAAAACAATATTTTACTTAAAACTTGAACCCGAGAGCTATATTTTATTTTTTGATAACCATATGTGTCAATAATTACATGCACCTTGTACATGTATCAAATATTCTATCTAAGGAACATCGATCGACAATTATTTTGATCGAACTCAATAATTTTTGGTTCGAATTCTGTATTATTCTTTAATATACACTAATTATTAAGATTTCAATAACTCTAAATTCATAAGCTTTAAATTTTAGCCCCGTCTCTATTAAGACTTTATCCATCAAGACTTGAACGGACGGGAATCACATAGTCTTTTTACCTCCACTGAAATTTGAACTCGAAATCTTTGACTATAGATTAAAAAATACTTACCACTTAGGAAATTCAAAATTCAGTTAATATATATACAAATAAATGCCAATAAACTATATCTTTTAGAATATATTTTAAATCGATAAATTTAAAATTCTGAATTCATCTTCGTAATATACTATTCAACCACAAACATTTTTGGTGGTAGCTACATGACATATGTAACCAAGAGAATTTCTACTTCACTTCTAAATTCTCTATAAATAGCAACTTCTTTTAAGTATTCTAAAACATGAAAAACAAGATTTAATTAAAAAAACAAACAAAATTGTTTCAATTATTAATTATGTCTTTTTTAAGATTTATTTTAGCAATTTTCTTCTTGGTTTCAATTAATTTTGGAGTATCAAATGCTCATTATAAATTAACTCCTACATTTTATGATTGCACTTGCCCAAATGTCATACACATTGTACGTGATGTTATGGAGCAAATTCAACGTAGAGATGTTCGAGCTGGGGCCAAAATTATTCGTCTTCATTTTCATGATTGCTTCGTTAACGTACGTTAATTTCATTAGAAAAAAAAAACATGATTTTCAATTTCTTTTACTAATGTTACTATTTAACATATGGTTTCATTTCATGTGCATGTTTATGTGTCTTGATACATTACGTTATTGACAACGTAAATAATTTTTATATTAACTAACAACATTGTAGTTTAACATATAATTATGGATTATATTTAACTAAAGATTTAAATAATATGCACTAATAGTTATATTGTTCATACTCATTAAAAATAATGTTGTATTTGCGTTAAATCCTTAAAAAATACACTATTTTGGAGGATTCAACACGGATTCATTGACGTTTTTAAAAAGTCCGAGCAACGTAGACAGATATAATAGTATGTATAAGTTTAAGTTTTACACACTGATAAGGTATAGTTAGAGAATAATTATGCTATCATAGAGTTCAACTTGTAAGTACCGTTTATAGTGATTTATTACGATAAATATTTTTTACATTGTTAATATATCGTAACTCGGCATATATAGTTAAATTAATGGTGATTTTAACTTTTGTATACAGGGTTGTGATGGATCAATTTTACTTAATAATGCAACTGGAATTATAAGTGAAAAAGATGCAAATCCAAATGTTGGTGCTGGAGGATTTGATATTGTTGATGAAATTAAAACCGCATTGGAAAATGAGTGCCCTGGCGTTGTTTCTTGTGCTGATATTTTAGCTCTTGCATCTGAAATCGGAGTTGTTTTGGTAAATCACACAATTTCGTCATAGCGTTTTACTTTTACATGTATTTCAAACGATTCTAATAAAAATAATTTTCTTAAGTTAAAAATTGATCGAAAAATAAATATATTTTTTTACTTCAAGAAGGTAGAAGTTATAAGGTTTGTATAATCATTTGTCAGACTATACACAGTATAATGTTATTGGTAAGTCAAAAAGTGTCAATATGTAATATATATAAATAAAAAAATATTTTTAACTATAATGTGTAATTTTTCGAAAAAAAGATACTGTCGATCAACACGCCTCAAGTATACGTGACTCCACCGCCTGATGTGATTTATAAGTCATGAATTCAAATTGTAAAAGTAATCATCTATGTTAACGTCAAAATAAACTGTCTACATTTCTTTTTTCTAATTCTATCTGAATACGAAATGCTTCGTTTATCGAACTATTTTTTTAAATTCAGGCTGGAGGTCCATCATGGCAAGTTCCTTTAGGGAGAAGAGACAGCTTAACAGCAAACAGAAGTGGAGCTAATAGTGATATCCCAAGCCCTACTGAAACCCTTGCTGTTATGATACCACAATTCACTAGAAAGGGAATGGATTTAACTGATCTTGTTGCTCTATCAGGTAATCGATTCGATTAATTCAAATTCGTATAATATTTTTTTTTACTATATATGAGGGATTTTAGCATTCGTTGTTAAGAGGATTATAATTTCGGAGTCTGAACTCGAAATATCTAATTAAAGAACATGAGGACCTTAGCACCCCCTCAATAGTAAAATTTCATGTCGTATAATATTAGTCCGTAAAAAAAGAATAACGTATTCCTATATCATTTTACTCTTAACAAAATAATTTATCACCTCATAAATACCTATAATTTATTTTAGCCTACAAGGTTCAAAAATCTTCGTTTCATTCTAAATTTTTTTGCGTCCAATCAAACACCTTCACGTAGATCAAAACGAAGGAAGTACCATTTACCCTAACTTGCCCATCAATGTTTATAAATACTTGTAATTTGAAGTAGTTGTTTTCGTGTTATCTATAAGTCACTGGTTCGAATCGTAAATCATCTACATTACACCTCTCAATACGCTGCGATCTTTTTTCGGTATTTATTAACACGAAGTGCTTTGTACATCAAACTACCCTATGATCTTTTTTTATACATTGATTACGAGTAATCTGATCGTATAAATATTTTTTTTTTTTGATTGTGTAGGGGCACATACATTTGGAAGAGCAAGATGTAGAACATTCAATCAAAGACTTTTCAACTTTAGTGGAAGTGGTAGACCTGATCCAACCATAGACTCTAATTATTTAAAAACATTACAAAGACTTTGTCCACAAGGTGGAAATGGTGGTACTTTTGCTAATCTTGATAAATCAACTCCAGATGAATTTGATAATTATTATTTTACAAATCTTAAAAATCATCAAGGGTTACTTCAAACTGATCAAGAATTGTTTTCTACATCTGGATCTAGTACAATTTCAATTGTGACTAATTATGCAAATAATCAACACAAGTTCTTTGATGATTTTGTTTGTTCAATGATTAAATTGGGAAATATTAGTCCATTAACAGGTACTAATGGAGAGATTAGGAAAGATTGCAAGAGGATTAATTAATGTAATCCTATTTAATTCTATGTATGTATGTATGTTATTTATGTAAATGTAATGTGTGATGAAACTCCCGTAAAGATAGGAGTAAAGTTTACGTACGTTTTATTCTGGTTGTTTGTCGTAATGTGTGGTGAAATAACAATGTTCCTAAATAAGACAATGTTATTTGCTAAAATAAAAATTCCAATAATGATGTTTTACCATCTATTCATTTTGGAGTACTTCAAGTTATTCTTCTTGTTTTCTTTTTTTTTTAAAATTTTTTTCAAATTCAAATATATCGTTGAATTATGAGAAAAACTCATTTACGTCATTTGCGAAATTAAAGTTTAGTTCATTCATGCATGAATGAACTTTTTCTTTTTCAAACGAAAAATAACGTAGATCAATCAAACTTTTAACAGATTGCATAGATGAGCCCTTTCTAAAAAAATTATGACATATTTAAGCCTTTATCCTCAAATTTATAAGGTTGAAATGAAATAAAGATAATGTATTCACAGATATTACACGTGTTTAGAAGCAAATAATAAGGAAATAAAATAAGACCAAATACATAATTTGATTTGTATTGCTAACTGTACAATTTTATTGTCCTTCCATGACTCTTCTATATAATAAAAAATTTATATTAGATAATTCAATTTTATTTTATTTTTTGAAAATTCCATATAGGTACAAATAATATGTTTAAAGAATTAGATTAGGATAATACCTTATTTAGTACTCCTAATTCATGTGGTGACTTATTTTGACATAGTCAACTACATCATGTGTTGGTAATTTGCTCAATTAGTGTTCATTTAATGCATTTGATAACTAGTCATAGTTCTTAAAATTGACCAATTTGTTAAAATGTTTTCATCACATATATGATTATAATTGATGTTTAATCAATTATTCACTAATATACATATTGATATTTTAATAATCTAATAGCGTATACACTACTAGACAAATATGAATTTTCGATGAAATTTATTAAAAAAGTTGTTAAAAATATTAGATTTTTACGGCATTTCAATAAAATGTTTTTATGAAAATTTATGTGTTTTAAGTAATAATACATACACATATGACTTATTTTATATCTAAATAGGATGAACAGGAAATATTCAAAAAAGTTATCGAGGGTTGATATGAGATGAAAATTTTTGCATTTTGATTAAGAGATTTTGGATTTGAGTTGAGCTTTTCGAATGAAAAAAATCAGGTAAGGTATCATTCTCCCTTTAATAAGAACTTAATTATGAGGTATGAATCTGAAATGATTAATTAAGACCTTGAAACGAGTATCAAACACTTAACGAGGAAACCAAAAAAAAAATAATCAAAAAAGTAAATGAAGGAGAGTTTTAAAAATGATCTTTAAATCATGTCGAACTTAACATGTCATAAGAGATTTTGAAATTTAAAAAAGTTACTAAATAGTAAATGACATTCTTTTTTAAATAATTCAGAATGGAAAATAAGACACATAAATTAAAACAGATCGAAGTAAATGATAAAACTTGGTATTGCTTTTCAGCATATCATTCTTATTTATTTAGGATTGCTATTTTAGCACATATTACACTTCAACAAAAGCAAAATTACACTTGATCAAGACATTATAATATCTCTCTTTTTCGTACGAAAACACAAACACAATTTATCACGCATATATTATAACTTATAAACCCCTCCTAATCAACTAATTAACCCTCTTACAATCAGTCCTAATCTCTCCATTAGTACCCGTTAACACACCGATATTTCCCAATTTAATCATCGAGCTAGCAAAATCATCGAAAAATTGGCTCTGACTACTCGCGTAACGATTCACTATCGCGATTGTATCGGATCCCGATGTCGAAAATAATTCTTGATCAGTTTGAAGTAGACCTTCTTGATTTTGAAGATTTATGTAATAGTCATTATCAAAATTATCTGGAGTTGTTTTATCAAGATTTTCAAAAGTATTCCCATTGTTTCCACCTTGTGGACAAGTTGCTTGTAGTGTTGGCAAATAAGTTGAGTTTATTGTTGGATCAGGGCTACCACTTCCACTAAAATTGAAAAGTCTTTGTTGAAATGTGCCACATCTTGCCCTTCCAAATGTATGTGCACCTAAAAGTGAAATATATACGATCGGGTTATCTAAAAGATAATTAATTGATATCGATCGAGAATTTAAAAATAAATAGCATCATTTATACTGACAGTGTCAAGATTCTTTACATTGTTAATATCAGTTACTTTGACAATTCGAAAGTCAAAGTACGTTGTAGTCATTTGAATTAAATTGACTAGTTTTACACAGACTGTCAACCTATATATATTATCTAACATGTAATAATACATGGAGTTCTATTACCAACGATTTATAGTGGAATGATGAAAGTAATTTCGCTTTTATTCAAAGGTCTTAAGTTCGACATCTAGAATGTAAAACTTATGAAATAACCTTATTAATCAATTTTTGACTCCATTTTTGAAAAATAATTAATCATACAATTACGAGATTTCAGATTCCGTCGCAACTTCATGATATTGATAGTGATTGTTTCTTAACTGTGTGGTTGAAAAATGATTATTTGTGAATTATTTTATCCATTTAATTTTCTTTGGCGAAAAGCGTGTCTACATAAAAGGGGTGTAGTGAAATAGTAAAAAAAAAATTACACGTTTCGTAATCACAGACCTCGAGATTAAATCCCTTATTATGATGAAAATACTATAAGCTTTTATACATGATAAAATTTATATATATACATAAATTTAAATTAATCGAACCTGATAGAGCAACGAGATCAGTTATATCCATTCCCTTGTTGGTGAATTGTGGTCTCATAACATCAAGGCTTTCAAATGGAGTTGGGATATCACTATCAACTCCACTTCTATTTGCTGTTAAGCTATCTCTTCTCCCTAGAAGAACTTGCCATGTTGGACCTCCAACCTGAAAAATTTAGAAAATTACACTAATTAGAATTCTTAATTAGTATATTTATAGGTTTGATTTAAAGTTATTGAGTTCGATCGAATCGTAATTCATATGTTATTTCTATTTTGTCAATGATTGTGGTAGAATCAAAATATCCATTCATCTTTAACCTGATATCTCGAGTTCGAGCCCTGTAGTGAAAAACAAATTTATAGCAAAGATCGTTCCCCCCCCCCCCCCCGAGCTCTGTACCTCATAAAGTAGGGGATAAAGTTTGTATACAGTTTATTAGTCTCCGCAGACCACTTCTTGGATCACACTGGATATGTTTTTGTTACTGTAGCACTATCTAGTTTAATGGTTTTACACGCGTAGACATATCCAGAATTATTAATTTATTTATTTTTGACCATGATTTTCTTTTTTTGCTTATTGAGTTCTGAATAGATTAGGGTTTGAGTCAAAACTAAAGAGTGCCGCAAACTCTTCAAATTCAGATTAATCAAAATATTATAATAAATTTGGACTTACCAAGGCAACTCCAATTTCAGATGCAAGAGCTAAAATATCAGCACAAGAAACAACGCCAGGACACACGTTTTCCAACGCAGTTTTAATATCATCCACAATATCAAATCCTCCAGCACCAACATTTGAAGCTGCATCTTTTTCACTTTCAATCCCAGCTGCATTATCTAGCAAAAGAGATCCATCACAACCCTGTAAAAAAAAAATATTATCAGTATAGTTTAACCTATAATGATATATTAATTATTATTTATATCAAGTTATTTATGAATTAATATGTCGTCATAAATGACCTGATTGTATAAATATTAATTAAAAAAATATAAAAATTGTACTCTGACAAAGTAAAAAATATTTTTTTATCGCTATCAGGTTAGATCTGCATGATATAATAATAAGTAACTCCACATATCACGCTCGATGTGATAATCTAAAAAATAGAATAATGACAATATATAACTTTGGAAACTTATATTTATAGGGTAATTATAGTGTATATAACTTAAATCTTTAATTAAACAAAATGGTGACTAATTTACTATTTTTATGCAAATGTTAAACTACACTATGTACTATATATGACTTGAAACACAAACATGCATGAAAAGTTTACGTACATTAACAAAGCAATCGTGAAAATGAAGACGAATAATTTTAGCACCAGCACGAACATCGGTACTTTGGGCTTGTTGCATGACACCACGTACAATTTCGGTAACATTAGGGCAAGTAGTAGCGTAAAATGTTGCACTTAATTGAGCATTCGATGCTACGAAAATTGAAATCAAGAAGAAAAGTGGAAAAATAAATCTCAAAAAAGACATTATTGATGAGTGATAGACAACTTTTTTTTTCTTTCAAGAATACTCAAGAAATTAAGTTGTTATATTTGAGATAATTCATTTTGGTTGCTATTTATAGAAAAAAAAATATAGTAGTATCATAATCAATGTAATAATTATTTTTAAAAAATAGGGAGACAAAGGCAAATATTAGCCGCCTATATGACTATTCTAAGAAAATGAGTGAAGAAAATTATTAATTAGATTATTTTATTTTATATTTTTTTCAAGTTAGTTATGAAGTTTCAATTTTTGCATTTAATTAAAATCTATTAAATTGGACCATATATAGAAGACTAGTCTAACTAAAGAATTTAATTTGCACCAACTTGTGATTTGTATATACCAACAAAAGACTTGTTAAGTTATGAAAAGATTTCATTTAATTATGTAAACTAATAGATTGATTTGATTTAGAGGGATAATTTTTATAAAATATAATCCATAGGGTATGTTGAAAATAAAAAGGAAAAAGGACAGGTATACCCCTGATCTATCGTAAATGGTCAGCAAATATCCTCCGTCATACTTTTGTGATATTGGTGTCTCTGCCGTTCAAAAACTATAGCATATATACCTTTTATAACGGACATGTGTCATAATCTTATCCACCGATCCGACATTTGTCGACGGATAAGATTGCGCCACATGTCCCTATTTAGTCTTCCGTTAGAGTGAAGGGCATATATACTCTAGTTTATGGACGGTAGGGGCACCAATGTCTTAAAAGTATGACGGAGGATATCTGCATACTATTTACGATAGTTTGAAAATATATTTGTCCTTTTCTCCAAAATAAAATTTAACCTAGACTCTAACCCGAGTAACATGGGGCACATAAAATTTTGTTCTAATCAAAAAGGGAAAAATGACAAAAATACTCTGAACTATCGTAAACGATATGCAGATACCC